CAGGAATGTTTACTCATCTCCTCTGCAAGCGAGGGATGCTTATGGCTGGAAGGCAGGTCTGCTGCTGGACAGCCCTGCTGCACAGCCCCCAGCTCCCAACCCAGCCCTGAGGCCCGTGGGAGTGAGGAGCAGCACCCATGGGAGCACAGCAAGGAGCAGGGAGGTGTTGGTGAGGAGCCCCAGGCACTCACAAGTCGGACTGTGTCACTTTGTCATTCCATTCTCCAAGTTTCTCAGATGTTTTCACATAACTAGAAACAGAAAGTGTTCATGAATATAACTTCAATATTCATTTCTTAGAAGGCAATGACACAGATTTCAGCTACAAAGGAATAACAGAAACCAGGCAGGGGTGTAGGACTGAAGATGAGGAAAAAGGGAAAGAACAAACAGGGAGATGAACAGCTCCATGATCTGCTCTGCAGTAGCACCTCCAGGAACCCCACATTCCAGTTAAATTACATGAGACTTTTTAGACTGAACTCTGGGGGCACCAAGAGCCCTTCCCATCGGGCACAACCTCAGGGCCAGACTTACCTCTCTGACAATCCTTTGGCACTGTCAAACACTGCAGTGACCAGACCCCAAAACTCAGGGACAGTCAGTCTAATTCCAGACCCTCAGGCAGAGATGACTACGTGTAACACACCAGCACTACAGGGCTTTTTCCGAGGAAGTGCAGGCATCCTAATTCCAGCTACAGGGCTTGGGAAGTAGCTTCTGAACTAGTGCTGTGCAGCAGAGCTTTGACACATCTCTTTGAGCCTGAGTTCAGAACAAGGTACCAGCTGCCTGTGTCTCACAGAACAGGCAGAAATGGGCCAACTGAGCTGGTAACTGGTGATTAGATCCCTACCACCACGGGCAAGAGCAGCCAGCAACAACTCACCCACATCCCAGGTAGGGAAGTTCTGTTGATGCTGACATAAAAGACACAGAGGTAAACAATTTAAAAAGCAACATTGCTTTTCTAAGTGCCTTTTACTCTCACATCCCTCAGAAAAAAAAAACAAAACAACTCAGCTGCTTGGAAGAGCCCTGGAATAGGCTGCTGGGAAATCATTAGTCATGTACAAACAGAGGAGCATCACTCACGCGTTGGAGACCTGGACGTCGTGCCAGCTCTTGGACAGATTCTGCTTTAACCCATCCAGGGGAGTCAGCCCCAGCTTCCTCTTCAGTTCCCCACAGTGTCTCTCCTTGGCAGCCAGCACTTGCCTCAGAGTGCCAATCTCCTCTTCAACCTGAGAGGGGCAGAGCTTTGCCTTAAACCACAGCTCGGGAAACCTATGAACATGAACCCGACTTTCTACCCCCCTCAAAACCAGCATGATTTTGCCAACATGGATGGAAACAATGGGTAGGAACATCAGGGACAGGCAGCTCAATTCCATGGAACACCAATGGTGATGGAATGAGAGGCCCACAGCTCAGGCTTCAACCAAGAAAACATCCACACACGTAACTGTGCTGGTGACTTAGTGGCACCAAGATTAACAGAACTCATCCCTACCATTGCAATTATAGAATTGTACAATTATTTAGGTTGGAAAAGACCTTCAAGATCATCCAACTCCAACCACAAACCTAGGTCTTTGTGACCACTCAGAGCAGCCATGTCCTCCCTTGTTAAAACCTGCAAGTCAAGGAGCCACCACAAGATTCTCAAAGGAAAGGGCTAGAGAGAGACAGCTGCATTATCTTCAGCTACACTTCAGTCAGAAGTTATAAACCCCTCCTTTAAACCCCAAAAAGGTCCCCAAAATCTAGGATATTGCATCACAAGCTCTCAGCTCTTCAAAGGCACATAGGCACCAAAAAGAGTTGCCTATAAAATGTAACAAATATTTATGAGAAAAAGGTAGAAAAAGAAAACATGAGTGCTCCATTGTTTCAGCTTCCTAAGGAAAAACGAGTTGGTGTTGCACACCCTCTGCCTAAAGTGTTTCCTTGCTTCAAGTGGAGCTAAAAGCCCAGATTGAGGTCCCAGCATCAAAAGCCACTTGCTTCCTCAGAGCTCTAAACTGAATCATTCTGGGAAAGAGCAGCAACCCAGCACAGCGTTTGAAGTACCTGCCAGCTTTGTGCACGTTAACAATGAGCTGAGAGGCCCAGAGGTAATGACAGCGAGAAAGAAAAAAAGGAAAACACCGAGCCCTGCTCCCATTTGTCCCGTCCCAGCAGGACGGAGGTACCTTGGCAAGCTCCGACCTCAGCTCCTCCTCCTCAGCCAGGGTCAGCCCCTCGGGAGCAGCGGGCCGGGCCGCAGCCGCGCTATCCACGGGAACATCTGTCATGGCATCCGACAGCAGACCTTTGTTGGGAGAGTTAAGGTTGATATCTGCCACAGAGAAGGAGCAGAGGCAGGACGGAATAAGCAGCCAGCAAAGCGAAGCGCGTTATGCAAACCGGGGAGACGGGAAAGGTGAGGGAGGGGAGGGGGGGATTCACGGAAAGGGGAAGAGAAACCTCCGCTGGGCTTTCCTCCACGAGCATCGACCAGAAGCGACAGGAGCAGAGAAAATAGCTCCTCTGCCCTGCAGCGGCTGCTGAGCCCCCGCAAGGGCCCGGCCGGGCCGGGGGGCAGGGGGAGCAGAGCCCCGGGCGGGG